TCGCGACCACAGACGAAGTCATCCTACCAACCATCGACGAAGAATTATTGGAATATCAGAAGCTCTTTGAATGTGCCGATCTCGATGCAAAAACTCAATTGCGCAACCATTTAAGACATTTTACGCACCCAGAGAAGACTAACCTTACGGAGCCAAGTGAAAATGTTGTTAGCAAAGGTCGACCGGCAAAAAATATGAAAGACAAATCAAGAACTCGTGAGAAATCACATTTTGAGTATGTGGAGCCAAAGAAAAAAAAAATCGAAGCAAGCTAGTTGTTCTCCAAAGGTAAATGTAGCTACTATCGTCTCATTTCATTGTAGTTGTTGTATTTTATAATTGTGCTAAGTAATTTTGTGTAATATAATGCAGCTTATACCTGTACTGAAGAGATTAAGAATGCCCTCGAATGATTCTATTAACACTATACCAACTCAAGAGTCAGGAAAAAGCACTATACCGACGCAAGAGTCGTTCAAACTATTATTTGAAGATGCAGATGTGGGATTGCCACCAGGTTTGATCGGCAAGAATAAGTACATTGAGACGATCCATCCACGATTTCGTATGCATGTTCGAGAAATCATCAATGTCGGTTCAGATGGATACTGTGGATTTCGGGCAGTTGCCTCTATGATGGGATTTGGAGAAGATGAATGGAGTCGAGTTCGAGATGACATGCTACGGAATCTGGCATCGAGAAACGATCACGAAAGGCGTATACGGTGACCATAAAACCTAGTAAAATAAATAAAAAATTAGATTTAGAAACCTACTTAAGTAGTAATAACAAATTATTAAACTGGTATTTTACCTGATCGGGGATCAAATCATCTACTCGAGATCGCAAGTACGACGCTCGTTCAGGCGTTGAAGTAGTCTTTGACTGAGGCTCCCATCGGCTCGCTAATGGCCCCTCGAATTCCGTCTTCAATGTGCCACCCGCCAAATAAGGAAAGTGCTCGTAAATCCATGATCGAAAAAGCGTCAGCCAGCCAGCCATCGAGTTCGTTGATTTTTGTGAGGCTGACGAAAGCTCATCGTACAACCGGCAAAGACATGCAGTGCCCAAGCATACTCGCCGATCCGATCCAAATCAGAGACGAGATTTAGATACTCCACGCTTACCATGTTGCCTGTCTTGTCGCACATTATAGTACACCCGAGCAAAAATAACAAATATCCGAATGGCGTATGTCCTCTTATCAGCACTATCTCTCGTGGTCACCTTGCTAAATTTAGTCTTCAACCATTCCAGCTTCACCGCTTTCTTCTTGTCTACATCGTTCGGGTACTCACCTAGAAACTCGAACATCAAACTACTGGGCTTCGTTTTAGAATCACGGATCAAACGCTCGCAAGATATGGTACGTCCAACAACTGGCAAACCGACCAACGTACTCACATCATCAAGTGTGATGGTCATCTCTCCAATAGGTAAATGAAATGTGTTGGTAGTTGGTTGCCATCTCTCTATGAAGGCTCTAAGTAGATGGCCGTCAACAGTGTTGTACGATGCTTCTACAACTGACATTAATCCAGCTCTTTGTACTGCCTCTGTAATAAACGACGCCGGCACCCAGCCTTTCAAAGTTCCTGTGTGATTTCGAATTCGAAATTCTGAGCCGCGCTCCGAGCGCTCTAGCCCTCCGTTCACAATATGATAAGCAATGTGCTTATCAAAATTTGTGTACAATTCCGGTATCTCGGGACCACGGACCGGTTCGTTGCTCGAATCACCAACTTCTACAGTCGAAGGTAGAGCCGGCACCGGATTCGTTGAGGAAGAACCCTCTCCAGACTTCTTCTTGGTCGTGGTCTTTTTCTTGGTCGTGATTACCTTGCCCTTGCCTCTATCGGATAATTCCTTCCTCTTCTTACGGTTCGAGACAGTCGGAGGTATACGAGGTTCACGTGGTTCTTCCACTGCAAAATAACACACAAATAAATATAAATATACATAATATAAACACAAGCAAATAAAAATAGTAAAGAAAACAAATTAATAAAAAAAAAATTACACAGAAATAATTCGACAGAACACTATCGAAAATTGGTTGAAAATTCGACAACTAGCTGTCGAATTTTCAACCCATTTTCGACAGTGTTCTATCGAATTATCAAACATTCAATTCAAAGATTTCAAAACAATCGACAACTATATGTCGATTTTTGATGAATTTTCGACATCAATCTGTCGAAAAATTTGAAAAAATCGACATATACAGGTCGAATATTGTGAACGAAGAACCGACACACGAATCTCAAATCAATGCTCAAATCGACTAAAATCAGATGCACCCATTACTAATTAACGATCATTCATACCTAAAACAACCACATTCTATTTACCCATATCAAACAATCAAATCCTAAATAAATATTAAAGAAAAAAAATCGAAAACAAATATTACTTGTACAACAAACACGGCGGCGGCTTGATAACAATGGATTCAGCGGCGGCGGCGTTCGGCGACGTTCGGCGGTGTTCGGCGGTGGCATCCGGTGGCGGCGAGGGTTGGAGCGGCGTGACGTCCGGCGGCGAGGGTTGGAGCGGTGGAATGATATGTTTTTTTTTTTTTAATTTGGTTTTCAAATAGGTAATTTCAAAAAAAAATTTATATAATTGATATTTTGTATGAAAGGGTGTTTTTGTACTTATCTTTTTATTTTGGTATTAAAGTAAGAAAAAAACTTATAAATATGCACTCAATTGTGGTTTTAAACTTGGTAGTATTCAAGTAAGCAAAAGTTGGGATTTAAAATAGTTGCCCCCTTATTTTATTTGATCATTTGCTAGCTAAATAAATTAAAGTTTAAACCCCTCAAAGTAAGCGCTACATATCACTTCAACCCCTACAACCAAGCATTAGTATAATTTGAACCCTTCCAACTAAGCTTTAATATTAATTTAACCCCTCTAACTAAGAATTGTTGCGAATTGTTGCAGTTGAACCCTACTATATTTTTTCCAAGTTGAAAAACCAATAAAAATTTTATCAAATTTATCTCGAGTAAAACTGTAAAAAGTACCCCTGTGTAATTTCCAAATAGCAAAAACTCCCTCTGTGATAAATAAACTAGCGAAAATCCCCCTGTGAAATTTAGTCAAAGCCAAAAACCCTCCCGGTTGACTTAAATGTGGCTCACTCGCGGGTTGCGCGACTGGTAGTAGGTTTTTGGACGTGAAATGACGAAATTGTCCCTAAAAATGTATTTATATGTATATATATTATATGTATATATATTTTCCTTTTATTTTGATTGTTTAGAAATTAAATATTGTTAAAAAATAGTAAATAATTAAATTTAAAAATTATTAAAAATTTGTTAATCAATAAGTATAGAATTTTTTAAATATATAATAACGGAATTTAAATTTTCTTTTGATGTAGCGATAATTTAAAATATATGCAAAAACTATGTGATAATAAAAATAGAAATAAATTAAAGACCCCATTGTACCTTTATAATATAACAAAAATAAAATAATTAAAATATTTAAAAAATATAAGAATTTATTAATAGCAAAATCCCGGTGGTATTTGTGCCTTTTTATATGAAGTCAACACTCAAATAATATATGGGCCAAGTGTGCTATTTAAATAATTTCACAGGGGTTTTTGGTTAGTTTATTTATCATAGGGGGGTTTTCGCTATTTAGAGATTACACATGGGTACTTTTTGCAGTTTACTCAATTTATCTCTCTTCAAACCCGTTATTCAATTTGAATCACTCTTCGATTGCTATTTGATACGCTCTTCAAACCTATTATTCAATTTACTAGTATTTTACCCGTGTGATGCATGGGGATCAATTCAAAAATTAAAATGTATTAAACTAAAAAATATTGAGGATGTAATTTAAATCGATCGAAAACAAAAAATAACAAATTTGTATATCATTTTGTCACAAAAAATCTACATAAATATAAATTGAAAACGTCGGAACCATCATTAAAACTGACATGCAACAATCAACTCTATCATGAGTGGTGATCGAATCACATTACCACTCTTGTGCATTAATCCGAATCTTGATACCCTAACACACAAAACTAAGACTGATATTGAAACTAATACTAATACCGATTGTGATACTGATACATGGGGTAGGGGTTTCCACGCCGATGTTGGGAGTGTGTGGCATTTGATCGCACCTATTTTGGGCGTGAAATCAGCTATTTCACATCCATTTTAGGCGTGGATAGACAAAAAACGGATTATTTAAACCTAAAAATTAAAACCGCATTTTTCACGTCCCATTTACAAATCGTAGTTACTTAAGTTAAAAATACATGCTAGTTGAGAATAATACATAATTATCTAACTTGCAATTTTATATCGGAAATGCTATTTGCGGTCACAAAATTGCTATTCGCGGTTTATAACAAAACCCCCCAAAACTTTTAAAAATATCAAAAAACACCCCAAAACTGCAAATAGCAAAAAAAAAAAAAAATCGAAAATTCGAAATCAAGCTTGAAGAAGGGTTGGGCTTCGATTTTTTGATGTAATTTCGACTCTTTTATGTGTAATATGCATTGGGTAGGTCGATTACGGAAACAATTTCATGTTAAAAAGCCCTACAAATCGATTTGTAGGTCTTTTTTTTTTGCAAAAAAATGTTCGAACGCCCAAGATGAGCGCCCAACGCGTGTACGAACGCCCGTTCCGGGCGTTCGTACCGTTCGTACACGCCTTGGGCGCCCATCTTGGGCGTTCGAACATTTAAAAAAAAAAAAAAAAATTTGCATTGGACGCCCAACTCAGGCGCCCAAATGCAGCTTGCACGCACAACTTGGGCGTGCACTGAATGAATGGGCGCCCAAGTTGGGCTTTTACGCGTTTTAGGGGGATTTTTGGATTTTTTTGGAAAGTTTTGGGGTTTTAGTGAAATAAAGTATTTTTTTGGGCGGTTTTGTTAGAAACCGCAAATAGCAATTTTCAAACAGCAAAAAGCAATTCCCTTTTATATTTGCTACAACTAACACAACATATTGCTACGAAATCAAAGATATATTTTATAAAGAAAACAGTTCATGTCATGCTGATTCGCCAAACTCACTACAACTCGCAAAAAACGAAACAAAAGAAAATATTGCTCAAAATTACAGTATGAAAAACGTTAACGCATCGGTAGATATGGTGTCACTGAGACGTAGAAGACTCGGCGGCGGCGGTGTTTACTTTGTTAAGGAGGAGCAAAATCTCTTGCAAAAGATAGGCTTTCATATGAGGGTCAATAAGGTGGCCTTTTGTTTCGAGAATCAATTTCATCCTCTTCAACTCCCTCTTCACTTCTGCAATAAGAAATGATACGTAGAAACAACATATATATAAATATATATATTTATGAATTAAAATTGCAATAAAACATTAAGAGAGCACATAAAGATCTTCACGGCTCGAAATTCATGAACGAAAAAACACTTGATCCAAACAGACTGCCGACATTTTGAAGATGTTGGCCGGCCCACAAACAGATTTGCAAGCCACATTGTGAGTTAATTGAAATCGCGACCAAGAAACCATTACAAGAAATACGACCATGATTGATGAAATAAGCTATACGAAGAACATCATTATTTTTAGAAAATTAATTTGTAAATAATCTAACAAACAGAAGAATGTAAAACGAGAAAAGGTGTCTATCCAATCACATATTTCACATTTCAAATTTTTTCGATTGACGGGATAAATCATAGTAGAGAAGTGCCATAATTGTAATTACGAAATTTACCTTCAGATTGGGCCGCTTCGTCTGAATTTTGCTTCATTAGTAACTTCACAATGCAAAACAAAAATAAAAAAAGGGTCATCAGAAAGAGGAGCAAGATAGCTAGGACACAAAAGGGTCATTTTCAAATCTTAAATGATAAATATGTGATCTCTTCGACTCGTTCTAATCCAAAGTAGAAGCAGCCGTATTTTCAAGAATATCAAGAGAAATGAGAATTGCCAAAAAGAACTGGATAAGTTAATCAACTCGGGAGGGGGGGTGAAAGATCGGAAAGTACAAAATTCAAAAACAAAAATACATTGCGTATCTCATTAAACGACATGTCATTTGATTTTTAACCAGAAGAAATCAAAAATCATCAATCCGATAAAATAGTTGGAAGATGGAAAATTAAATACTGAATACAACCGGGGGTGGGGGGGGGGGGGTGTAGTCATCATTCGGAAACTAAATAAAAAACTTACAAATATCTGAAAAAACGACGAGAAGAAAACTGAGAGAGGAATCGAGAGATGGGAGATATGGGAATGAATGGGGGAAGGGAAAACGAGTGTTATATAATGGTGAGAAAATCTACCGTGATAAGACCGGCAGTCAATGCAGCGATTCGCAATAAATTGTGCCTTATCCAGCCACGCCACGCAGCTCATCTAACGTATCAGCATTGACCAAATTTAGCTGGCAACATTATACATTTTGGAAAGATATAAAATATACCGGACGGGTTTGAGAGTACCTTACTACGTTTTGTGAATTTCTCATGAGCACCTAAGCCCAATATCCACTGCTAACAGGCCTGTGCATTCAGCAAACACAACATTAGCAAACAGAAATACCAATTTGCATTTACCCCAACTTAATACTAAAACCAAAAAACGGAAACATTAGCCCGCATCATGCCAAAACCAACTCGAAAATTCTCAGGCCTTCGAAATTCATGAAATCGGACAAAAGTATGGCACAAAATTATATGAATAAAGTATAGTTCCACAGATGAAAATGTCAAAATATTATTCAGGCTAACCATTGAAAATGGTGTAACTAAGATGAAGAAGAGCCAGCACTGGAGTTTATTTTATTAGTGAGTAGCGTAATCTCTTTTAAGAGATACTCTTTCATATGAGGTTGAAAAAGGTGGCCTTTCATTACGAGAGCCGATTTCATCTTCTCCAACTCCCTCCTCATTTGTAAAGTACTAGGTCTCTCCCCTTGCTGAGCTGGATTATGGCGTACATTCCCATGCTCAATGGGGGGTGCAAATGGACTTCTTAACGTAATTCTGGGAAAGAATAAAATAAAATGAATTAACATCGTATCAAAGACATATGTTTAACAAGCCTATGTATATATTGACTTACGCGTCAATCTTGTCCAAGTACTGCACAGCTTGGCAGACAGCACTGAGAACCAACCCTTTCACCTGTTTCATTACGAGCCGTTAGATGTCATCCACAATCTTTGTTTTCTTACAAGCAGACAAATTATATTCATCATATATCTTTGATTTTGTTTATTGACAAGACAATCATATTTTTGACATACCTGCAGCTTGTCTTCCTTACAGCTATGATTCTTTGGGAGACGTCGATACTCCGTTGATAGGCGGATGCACTGACCGATGCTTTCGGCTGAAACAAAGTCGATGGACATACTCGTGCACGACTGCAAGATGGAACACGCACACAAAAATTAATTGCAAAATTCACAGCGAAAATTGTACATTCGACTGAAAATAATTGAAGCCGTCGTTCGCGAAGTAGTATACGAGTCAAACACTAAAACCTTTAAGTTTCTAGCTTGGTAAGGGCAGCCAGCCGGTACCAAAACTGCATCGCCTAATCTCTGGACAAAGGTCCATGGTTCAATTCCTACCAAAAAAAAATATAAAAATAGATAATCAATATATATAGCAATTCACACATATACCACTTTACAACACAATAAAAACATACCATATTCATCTTTCAGCTTTCTTTTATGCTCCATTGTTAAGTAAAATGCTTTCTCATGAATAGGATGAACCAGCTGTGCACGAATAGAGGAAAAAATAAATTAGTAATATTTCATAACATATTGATACTCTGGAAAAATAAAAGACATCTATCTACTTATGCTACGACAATAAAAGATCATACCAAAAGCTTAACAAAATTTTGATTTTTAGAATTCTGTTAGAAAAATAATAGTAACTACCATACGAGAGATAAACCCCATAACAGAATAAGTTGAGTAGAACATTGTTTTCAAAGTCAAGATTTTATTACTTGCTGCAAAGGGACGATACGCCTGAACTCTCCGTAATGTCTCCGAAGATAGTGTTCCAGCTTAGGAACATCTTGCCTCCGAAAAATGTCCCAGATAGCACCACATTTTTGTTCATCGAAGCTTTGATCGTTGTTTCCTGAGGTTGAAGGATCAAATTTTTCCTTTCCTTTATTTTTAATTTCCCTTTCAAATTGTTGATTTCTCGTGGCATCTTGATATGCTTTCCAATTGCTTACAGAAAATACCACTGGATCTTGGGCAATGTGCTTCCTTCCCAACTCCACTATTGTTGAAAGCTCTTCCGGATTAAGAGACGTTGCAGCTGTATGCATCAAGACATTGACCTAAAACAAATTAAAAAAGAAAGGAAAGTTAGAATCAACAAAAGCAGGATCCTGACAACAAATATAATACAAATTCAGGCTTGTTGTAGTCACTTGTTCGTATGTTCCATACGAACAACTTAGGCATTGATAGAAAGAGATCTTGAGTGCAATCAACAAGGTTAAGTTGAATGATTTAGGTAACGAAAATATTAAACAGCAAGAAAGACTCCAGGATTCCTTCGACAACTAGCATAAACTTTCTATGAACAAGCACCAAAATAAAGCACAAAGCTTACATGTGTAACATATAACACCAAAATAAATATCTTTACCTATTAAACTATTTAGTAGTTTAAGTTAAAGTCTTTAAGTAGGTAGGAATAATATGAAACATAAAAAAGGACGCAAACATTCCTTTGACGACTATTAGAAAGTTTCTATGTTTATCTTGCTTGAATGATAATATGATATATAGCTCAAATCTGGGGTGATCGAGTAATAGCAAAACTTTATGCTTGTAAACTATTTAATATATCTCATTTTAACTCTACACATACTATATTTGCACGAAGTCGACCAAATGCAATCTAGAAGCAAGATCCTTGGCTAAAGTTAAAAACAACTACGTTACGAACAAGTTGTTCCTACTCGATACCTAGATGCAACAAAATCATTGTATTACATTGATTACCTTGTATGAGAATTTGATAAATTCTATGGCTCGGATCTATAATATCCTCTTATTTACCACATGTATATACTATTTACTATTTATAGAAAATACCCTCAGCCATTTTGACTCGCTTCAAATATGAAACTTGAAGTATTGAGATATTACTCTTTCTACTAACAAACCACTTTCAACATAATTCTTATTAAAGATAATAATACGTGATTTATACTTTATAGTCTTAATCCGTATTTTCTATTTAGTACAGTCTTAACGGTATTTTAGAAACTCAAAATTCCTATAATTTAAGATCAATTTCTTAAGAAGTTAATTTTTATGTATTATAATAGTATTAGGAGTTAATAAGTTCAATCAAGATTAACATATTAAATGCAAGAAAGAAGAATTAGGACTGCATTGAATAGATATAAATACCCACGACTTCATAAGAATATTCATTGGAAGATGTACTGCTTCTATCGATGCAATTGGCATACTAATCGGAAATTATTTAAAGCAGTTCATGTATTCTCATAAATATTCAAGTTAATAAAGATAGATATAAAGAAAAAATGTACCATATCTGAAAGAGCATACTGAAGCTTGGTTGCAGAACAGAAGCCAAGGTCCTCATTGACTCCATAAGCAAAGCATATTTTTGGACCCAAATCCGGCTTCAACGACTTTTTAGGTGTTTTCGCTGGCATGTTGAGGTAGCCAGCTTGATGTGTGTATAGCTTGAAAGGCAGGCATCTAATGAACTCCACGAAATGCCGAGGCAGCCGTTCTTGAAAGGATTCAGTTGGAGGCCAATCCTCCAACTTCAAAATTTTGGGCCGGCCTTCACTGTCCAAGAGGCCTTCAGAATACCCGTTGAAAAATTGGTGCATGTTTATAGTTTCCTGCGTGTCATAGTCCCAAAATCAAATCATTACAATTAAATGCAAAAAAAAAACATCAAGAGCAAATCTATCAAAACATCTCTATTTAAGAAAACATATCGAGTACGACGAATCGTCAGATCTTTGCTTTCTCCTATCCAAATTCGTGTTAGACACTTATTAACCGAACTAAAGTTTTGAAATTTTGAAGGTTGACACAATTAAACTAAGGAAAATAAACGATTAGTATTTCTGTTACTTGGTTCTTTTCTTGAAAGATTACATGGACCAATAGAATACTGCAGCCATTTGCAGCAAGTGAATGCTCAAGAACATAAAGAATACAACCTAGAATCAATTACAAGAAATAAGATCACGATTGAGAGAAAACAAAGGGGGGGGGGGGGGGGGGGTATACGAAGAACAACATGATTTATTAGAAAATTCATTTGTTAATATTATAACAAACAAAAGAATGTAAAACTAAGTGAACGTGAGAGTCATCCAATCACAAAATTCCAAATAAAAACTTTTTGATTGATAGAGTAAAACATAATAGAGAAGTCGGCATACCTTGCACCAATTTACGCAATTCGTTACGTTGAATTCCAGAATGCGAGTGTCATTAGTCCTTCTAGATTTGCGGCAACCACACCACATGACTAATGGCTCCCAACTCAACCCAGTCGTCCTGCTGAGCACGTCAGGGACTATCACAGGCTCACCTTTATATAGGTGCCGTTGGAAGTGCGTTTGGTCAACGCCCACAACAGTGGAACAACGGAAATTACGGACTGCACTCCCTGAACATGAGCATGCTTCTTCGGAAACTTCACACACCTCGAGATCGACGGACTCTGCTTTAATTAGCAGTTCCTATACCCAGTTATCTGGATATGTGGACTTTAACACCAGATTCCCATGAGCACATCCCCCCATTACTTCAGGTGGACAAACTATGGTACCTCTGTCTATCAGCTTCCATTCAGAAGTAAAACTCGTGTGGTCCATAGAACAACAGGCTGTTGCAGAAAATCTGTCATTGCTTGTAAAAGTACGACCCCCATGATGAACGTGATATTTATCATTTCCCCATTGGAAGCCATTCCTTATCTCTCGGCAACAAGTTACACAGAGCTTGTACATGCAGTTTAGACAACTTCTGTGGATATCGAATATTGCAGTCTTACAGTTGTCGCTGCACAGCACAAGTTATAATTATCAACATTTTGCATACTGAAGCAAACATTTATCAAGAAAACGACATAGGTTAAAAGTATCCACCATTTGACTTTATCGCCGTGGATAAAGTTGGCTTTCGGAAGCTGTAGTCCCGCAACTGAAACACCTGCCCAACCAAAATATATATTATAATTAATCAAATAAAACTACATCGGCTAGGGAAAATCAAAAGTTCTATCAATTATGTTTATCTCCAGGTACGTCTCACTAATACCTCAAAATCATAAATCACTGAAATGGAGTAGCACATAACATTAACGGAAACTGTTAACATATAAAATCCTTTTCTATTTATTATATTTGTTGAATAAACAATTCAATATACATGTTTGGTAGGATAATAGCCGTGAGTGTTTAGTAACACAAACAAAGGCACACCTAAAACAGAAAGTGTAATACAGGTGAACGTTAAAACCTCCCGACAAAAGTTAAAGTTACCTTGAATTCTTGCCTCTTCTTCTCTTTCTACGTTCTGCTCAACAACAAACTTCCTAAAAGAAGGAAGAAGTACTCTAATAATATATTTTGAGTACTGGACCTTTTTGTTGATGTCGAGCTGTAAGTCTGGTATGAACAAGTCCTAACATGCAAGAACAAGAGACTTAATTAGAAAACATATAAAATACTATATTAATATAAAATCAAGAGAAGAACCTTAATACTAACTTTATTCTCCAGATCAGGATGTATGCAAGCTGTACAGTTGCAAATTTTGCGACAGCCTGCGCATGCTTCAGCAAAGTCTGCCTCTTGCAGCCCTCTGTACCTGTGATTACAACAGAGATATAGTAAATCTATATGCACGAGCATCGACGATAAAAAAAAAAAAAAAAAAAAAATATATATATATATATATATATATATATATATATATATATATATATATATATATATATATATATATATATATATATATATATATATATATATATATATATATATATATATATATATATAATATGAAGAAAATGCAGGAATAATGTTAGTGTAGAACCAAGGGAAGCCCTTACTTTGAAACATGTTTAAGCAAAAATCCATTCATAAATGACTAAATGAGTAGTAGGTTTATTCCAAAGAGAAGATAATAAATATACCATCCTACTTTGTGGCGGTAAAACTCAAAATTAATCAGTATGACTTAAATGACATTTATCCATATCACAAAAAACAAACCACCATGTAAGATATACCAAGTACCAACATAAGAGCAGCAAATAATATATCAAGCAACAAAATTTCTCACCATTTATTGATACAGAGAATACAATAACCCCTATGCTTGCACTTGGTGCATCGCACGACTTTTTCTTTGTCATTTCTATGACATTGATGGCAATTGGTCGAGTCGATGCTTTTCCTCTGCCACATCCAAAGAAAAACATATTAACATAGAGTATATCCTCGATTTTTAATATAGTACTTTATGAAAAGTTGGCAATGGAATGAATTAGATGAGATCTACAGTTCTGGATATAATCTTCTTTAGGATCTTAACTTTAATTGTGGTGACATATCATTGTTTTCTGCCGCCATCAAGTTATTTATGAACAATATTTAGACACCTCTGAATATTATGAAATTATGACAGATCATCCAAACATTTGTATCCTTTTACTCTTAAATTATATATACATATATATATATACATACATACATATATATATATATATATATATATATATATATATATATATATTCATGTCCAGTGGATATCTAATGTTTAGATCTATTGATTAAAATAACAAAGATACATTTATTTACATTAAATCACTTCATGATTGAAGACTAAATAATTCAAGACCAACATCACAAAATCCAAGAATCCACACTTACAAATAAATGTATTTAGTCAAAGTAATTTCACTATGAATAGTCTGAAAAGGGGTTTTTCTAACTTGGTATTTACACATGGGGTCTCGTTGAAAAGACAAACACAAAATGCAATTTGATTTTTTACTTCTAAAAAGTAGTTGATACAAGACAATTGCATGGATAACTGAATTCTGCAACCTATATACTTATATCAAATCTTATAGAAATTTAAATCTCAACTGATATACATAATACTAGGAAGGCAACATGTTATTTTATGTTTCTCATTGTTTTGTTCGATAGATCTGCTACAATTAACATTATTAATTTACCTTTAAGTTGTGTCCGTTCATTTGCATATTTCCAGCAGAAGATGTTTCTCCATTTGAACTTTTCAATGGCATCATTTTAACTCCCCGAAAATTAATTGCCTTGATAAATCTTGGTTTTCAATTGTTTTCTCAGTCAGAGCACCACGTTCTCTTAACTGCAATGGCAAAATGTATGCATAATTGTTCCAGGGAAAATGAAATAAGGATGTCTTACCAGCAAAAAAGGAAAATTGTGTTGATTAGTGTAATCCGATACTGCTCACTGCAATATAATGTTGACTATTGCATACTTATACATATTACTGCAATATAATACTGACTATTGCAATCTTATGCTGATTCACATAAATATGTAAATCATTTTCCTTCTCACTAACCAAAAACGTTTTTACTTACCATGCCTGTAAAATGGAGGGCCCAGGAAAAAAATCTCAAATTAGGATTCCTGAAGGACATTTTAAGAAAAATATCTATTTTAAATTATTGCTACTTACTACTTATGCACACTGACAATAAAACTGGTCCTAGTAACTAGTTCACCAGAATCTATTAATAAATATTTCAACCATTAAAATAAAAAAAATAATATGTTCACGTAACCTATGCCGACTAATGATTTTTTGTCCTCTAAATTCTACCACAAAAAAAAAAGTGGGAGATAAAGGTTAAGGAAAAAAACATAAAGTATATAATAGTGGTTATTGGTTTCTTCATAAGGATTGCACCACACTAATTATACATTAGTTATTTTAATTTTTAATTATAAGTAAGAATACATGCAGTGATTAAACCAACCTTATTTATAGAAGAAATTTTTTTTTTCAAAATTGTTAGGCTATGTTTGTTACCATTTTCAATTTTTTTTCACTCTTTCACAAAAATAAAATTATCTTTCTACAATATTTTCAAAGACTTTCTCCAAAAAAAATTCAAATACTTCTCTCATTCAATCAAACACGATTTGAGTAAAAAATTCTTCACTAAAATAAAAATTAAAATCATTTTATCCTTCAAATTCTTCTTACAAAATACATTTTCCCAACACTTTTCAGACATGATTTGATTGATTACAGCATAATTGTCTTTTCTCAAAACACAAACACACTTTATTTATTTTCAAATTCTTCTCCCAAAACATCTTTCTCCAAAATATAAAATGGAAACGAAAGTGCAAAATCTTACCAAACATAGCCTTAGTTTCTACAACATAAACGATAAAATAATCAGCAAGGAGGAGTAAGAAAACTAATCCTAAAATCTAATCTTCAAAATCAAGATGACAAACGCATGTTCTTTTTTAATCTAAAATAGAAGATATCGTGTCATGAAATGTAACAAGAAAGTGATGGAAATTAGATAGCAAACTCAGTTCATCAAGTTTAAGAAGAACAAAAAAAGGGAAAAACAAGAAAAGGTAATATAAAATCACCTAAATCAGATCACAAACTCTTCTGATTCTGAACCACACACAATACAGAAGTTTTTAATTTGAGAAAATGAGGAGATGCAGATGGAAAATCGAACAAGGGATACAGAGATGGAGAGAATGGGCGAGATAGAAGAATGGGAGTAGGGAGGGGACGGTAAAATTTATTTGTGGGAAACTCCGCTAGTAAATCCGATAAGGTCAGCATTGATTGTATCGACCCCTAATAAATTGCTTCATATCCAGTGACGATGCCAGCTAATTTTACATATTAGCAGTTACATCAACCATAGCTGTCAGCAAAATGACATTTGGCGAGATATGAAATGTACCATACAGTCTATTGTGAACTTCCTTGAGCCATTAATTTAGTTTACCTAGGTATGAAAAAAGCAAAAACTCAAGGAGTGATGCTAAAAACCTCATTCCCGATTGTTTTATCTACCAAATATCCGGCACGATTTCTTTTCCTAAAACCAAAGTTCTTTTGAGATGTTTGAACATATCGAAGAGTAATATCACTTGCAATTGTGTATAATATATTTGATCAATACTTGAACAAGTTAACTGAAGACATATAATAACTAATAGCTTTATTAACATATCCGTTAGTCTTGAATAACTAAGTCACGCATTCATATCTGCGACATTTCGTTTTTCATATAAATGTTCTCAGATGAAGCACTTTCCGATTATTTGACACTTAAAAGAGCACTAAGGCTACTCTTCAACATCCAAATTAAATTATTACCTGATTCTGAAAATACATCTCTCGCCAACTCTCGATCATGCCCCATATTCCTTCAAACAATAAGAATAAAAATTAGTAGGGACCATCAAGTTACCAATAAGATGTCATAATTTTTTCGGTTTTTTGGTCGAAAAACATTTGATTTTTTTTACAAAACAACGTATAGTAAAGGAGTAACAATAATTGATGCTAATCCTATAGTAGCTAATACAACAGAGAGAAGCAGGATAGCCACGCATGCAAGATTGTAAGTCAAACAACGTAACACGCCTTTCCATAACCTACGACCATGGAGTTTCTTGGGAGATAAAAATTAATGTACGGCAACAGAAATTGCAGCAGTTGGCACATTTAGGGCATTATTATCACAATAACCAAAATATATATATATAGTAAATAAAAACAATAATCAACAAATACTCACCAACATATTCGACCAATTACCCAAAAATCATGTTAAACAATAATGAAGTATATATAAATATAACAGCAGCCAGAGGGTCTCCATAGTTTCTAGCTACACATTCTTTCAAGAGTAAACTTAATCACCTGCCAACACATTCTTTTTCATCAGCGCAGGATTCCGATGTACATTCCGATGCGTATAGAGGGTGCAAATGTACCATATCTGAAAGAGCATATTGAAGCTTATTTTGTCAGTGAGGAGCGGAATCTCTTTTAAGAGTCTTTCATATGGGGTTGAAAAAGGTGGCCTTTCGTTTCGAGAGCCGAGTTTATCCGCTCCAACTCCCTCCTCATTTGTGAAAGACTAGGTTTCTCCCCTTGCTGAGCTGGATTCTGGCGTACGTTCCCATGCTCAAAAGAGGGTGGTACAAATGGACTTTTTAACGTAATACTGGTAAATAATAAAATAAAATGAATTAACATCGTATCGTATAAAGACATATGTTTAACAAGCATATATGACTTACGCATCAATCTTGTCCAAGTACAGCGCTGAGAACCAATCCCTTCACCTGTTTTATTACGAGCCGTTAGATGTCTCCAATTCATTATATTCATTATATATATCTCCGATTTTAGTTATTGACAAGACAATCATATTATTTTACATACCTGCAATTTGTCTTCCTTAGAACTATGATTGTGAGGGAGACAACCGATATTCCGTTGACAGGTGGATCCACTCACCGACACTTTCTGCTGAAACAAAGTCGACAGACATACTTGTGCACGACTGCAAGATGGAACATCGTACACAAAGTTAATTGCAAAATTGACAACGAAAAATTTACATTCGACTGAAACTAATTGAAGTCGTTGGTTGTATACAAGCCAGACATTCAAACCTTTAGGTTTCTAGCTTGGTGAGGGCAGCCAGCTGGTACGAAAACTGCGTCGCCGAATCTGTAGGACATTTTCTTTGTCCTTATTGTGGCATTGATGACAGTTGTTTGAGTCACTTCTTTTCATCCGTCATACCCAAAGACAAACATGTTAACATAGGAACTCATTGTCCTCACTTTTTGAATATCTTACTTTACGAGAGTGAAATTATAAGAGATGTACAGTTCCGGATATAACCTCTCAAAAATAAGTATAGATAGCTTCCTTCCATTTCACAAGGGTATCTAATGTAAGATCTGTTGATTAAGTTAATTAAGATCTGTTGATTAAGTTAACTAAGATAAGTTTATTTACTAAATCATTTTGTGACTGAAGACTAGATATTTTTTTTTTGAAAAACAACAACAGATCCCTGTTGTTCTCTGTTTATCAATCTTTGGTTCTAAGAGATCTGTCATAATTGACTTTCACGAAATTTACCTTAAACTTGAGCTCGTTCCTCTGCATATTTCTGGCAGAGGATATTTCTTCATTGATAACTCTACAAGGAAAAAAAAATCATCAGAAAGAGAAGCAACATAACTACGACACAAAAACTTGTCCTAGAAAACTAATCTTCAAATCGAGATGAGATCTATCATTAATCCAAAGTAGAAATGAATGAAAACTGGACAAAAAGAAATGGACGGAAACAACTAGGCGACAGGGAATGAAAAATCGAAAATTACAAAATAAAAAAAAATGATGTATGTCAAATCAGATATGTCCTTTGTTACTTTGAACCAGAAATAGATCAAAATCCTTGAATCCGAGAAAATGATTACACGGTTGAAAAATGAAAGTTGAATGCAGCTAGGGAGGCGGGGAGGGAGGTGTAACAAGAATAAGAAACAAATGTAGGCATCATTCAAAAACAAAATGAAATAAAAAAACTTACAGATTACAGATATAAACACAAATCTCATCTGATTTTCAACCAAAAAATCAAGCAAGGCCTTAAATCGGAAAAAATGACGAGAAGAAAACTGAAAGATGAATAGAGAAATGGAGTTATGGTGGATGAATTGGTGCACGGAGAATGCGTGTTATATAATGGTGAGAAAATCTGCCGTGATACGGTCGACAGTCAATTGCAATAAATTCTGACTTATCCATCCACCAACTCAATAACTCATTTGCCGTATTAGCATTAACAATTCTTAGCTGGCAGCAATATACGGAAACAAAATATATTGGATGGGCTTGACAGTACCTTACTACGTTTTTTAACTTCTACGAGCCATTTCTTGGACTTCTTATCGAAGCCCAATATCCACTGCTAATGCTAATAGGCCTGTGCATTCAGCAAACCCAAAATTAGAAAACAGAAATATCATTTTGCATTTTGCAACACTTAATACCCAAAAACCAAAAAATTTGGTTTGGCTCGGTAAATTCGTAAATATCCAGGGAGAACTGAATTGCAGACAAATGAAGTTACACTAAACATATTTCGGCAATGCTGAAAACCGATTGCCATTCTTGGTATTGATTGCTCTTTGGAAATTTCAAAAATTTCATCTCGATCTTGATTGCTTTTCCAAATAGCTTACATGTAAAATTCTAAATGAATTAAAAAAAAAAGTTGCATAAACTTAAACCAAAAGTATCAGCACCGAACTAAAACTGTGAAATATGGAAAACGAATATCAAACAGGATAGCAGTTCAGTATTCGGTACAAACTAAGGCTTTGGTTTTGGTTCGGTCGGTTTACCAAACCGTACACATCTACCCAACTGCTAAGTAGATCATTTCAGCATAATTTTTCTAGGAATGGTAAATTTTGATATCATATTAGTCAGCCTATTTATCAAGTTTAGCTTGATTTCTGCTCAATAAGCTAAAGAAGTGCCAAGTTATACAGTGCAATAAAAGGTTAATATAGATATTTGATGTTGTTTTGATTAGATGCATATAACTTTGGAGCTCAACCCAAACTTTTGTAGCCCCCATACCAGATTAAGATCAAACAACTTATGAGCAAATTTTTTGCACCTATAGATTTACTACTGGCGCATTTTCATTTAATCGTGAGTAATCCCTATACGTTAAAAACTTTAAATTATTTCAATTATTCTTTTAAACCCGAAAAAGCGAAGAAGAAAAAAGATGCAACCACGATGTCTAGTGTACCAAGAGTTAGTTTCCCATTTTTCTTTCTCATGAAATCTTGAAGCTGAAAAATAAAGTTAGCTAATCAGAAAAGTTTTATGTAATATAAGCTGCTTCTACCAATTAGGAGATTATTTTTTAGTAAGAGCATTATGCAACTAAAGTACACTGCTGCTTAAAACAGCGCTGTGTGGTTCAACACTTCAATACGGATTTCCGGACAAACTAGCTAAGCATCCAATACATAAAAACAAATGTAAGCTCATTGACCAAATATTCCTCTAATAAAGCTATTACCAAATACTATAACATAAAATATCCTGAAAATGGAAGTTCTTATTTTCCATTCTCGACTATAAGCTATATTTTTCAAGATGCATATCCTGACCATATTCATTCTTCCTTGTGCACAAGCCATACAAATGATAGAAATCTAAAGCTTTTAGTTTTTGGAATTTCAACTATTTTATTACCACGACACATAAAAAGTGTCAACAAATACATAACACAAATTGAGGAAATCAACTTTCTTCAATACCATAATTAATTATGTTCAATAATGAATATTTACATCAAGCGATTATCAAAGTCTCTCAGGAGGGAAAAAAAAAAATCGCTCTCAAAAATGTTTTGGCTTTGTTGGTTAACAAGATAAATCATGACTAATTATATCTTATTTCATATTTAGTTAATTCAATAATTTTTGGGAGCATCTAAAAAAATTGAAAAGAAAATAATTGTGCCCTTCTCTTATAGATTAATTGGTGCATTTATACAATTGGACCCTAATAAAATTAAAATAATCTTATCTTGGTCACCTCATTGTAACAACCAAATGAGGACGTATTCAATTTGATAGTACATCATTCGTTGTCAAAACATCCAGAATTGGTGCTTCATACAAAATTATCTTTCTCCACTATAAATTTCTCATTCGCATAGCATTTGCATATCTTTTATAACTGTATTGTGTCAATTTTATTGTGTGTGTGTGTGTACAAAAAAGATTCTTCCAAATGCATTTTTCACTATAATGCAAACTTAAGACACCCTTGGATCACTTTGGTTAATACATACTTTATTGACCACGTAACACCGTAAACAATCATTAAAATTACAAATATTACCACATCGGACGGGTCTCTCTGCAAAAACCCTTCATCCTTAAATACTAAATCAGGAAGATCTTTTTACAATATTAAGCAAATCGTGATGATTTTAAAATGTATCACTGTTTAATGGTGCAGAAATATTTTTGTCAGAACAGAAAACGCAAAGTAACTCAGTAAGTAATTCACATCATACATATACTCATTTCTCAGTAATATTTGAAATATGAAAAACACTTTTCTAACATAACTTTGAAAGTCAGATATATGTAGTTGAATTCTTCTCGATGCAATAACTAGAGACCAACGGAGGAATGTGATAGTATATGCTTTCTGCGTGCATCTATCCAAGTGCGTTGTCAGTATAAGGAAAGAAGCTTCTAACTAAAATTTTAACAGAAGTTTTTACGTTCTTAACAAGATGGAAGCCTAGATGGCAACAAGTTAGAAAGTAACGATAGCATCCTAAAATCAGAATTTCAACCAAAGAATTTACTAAAATCAGAAAGTCTCTAATAGCAACATCGATTAGGGTACTAATGACAACTGAAAGTGCAATAACACGTCTCATAAAAACAAGATATTCTCTCTCCAACTTCTTCACAAAAAAAGATATTCAAAGATGAGAACTACAGATTTTTATGTTAACATTTTTGTCTTCGAGTATGATAGAGTGACTCAAACAATTGTCATCAATGCCACAAGAATGATGAAGAAATAGTTTTATGATGCACCAAATGCAATAAAAAGAACCATCCCGTTTCATGCATTATTAAATGTTGAGAACTTTTGTTGTTGGAGACATTTTATACTTCAATGCTCAGTTGTTAGACACTACTAAAATCTTTTGTGTCGTAGAAATTCTTCGACTGTGACAATTTGGAAGCCTACGTCACAAGATTGGTTCCAGTCAAAGAATTTCCAGATGCAAAAGATGTAATTTTAGTAGCTTAACATAAAACTGAAACACTGAAATGAAAAAGTATCTTCAACAACAAAAAGTATTCACAACTTAGTGATGCTGAGAACGCAATAATCCTTCAAACTGCATTTGATGTATCCAACAACTATATCTTTACCACACATGTGACGCTGAGGACAATTGTTTGAGTTTATTAGCGTTTGTCACACCGAAAGACGAAGATATTAACATATAACATAGGAACCCTTAGTTCTCACTTTTGTATATCTAATTTCGCAAAAAAAAATTTGAGATTCACTACTGAGGTGTGGATCATGCAGAGCATAGGACTCTTTAGGCAGTTTGAATTCGAAAAAACTAGTTTTCCAATCAAACTGGTATATAGATGATTTCACCCAAATCCATAGTAAGAGCTGCCATGTTTTCAAGAATTTCCAGAGAAATAATGAAAATTGAACAGAAAGAAATGGATGAGTAAACCAAGCATAATGAAAATATAAAAGTCAAAAACAAAAATAAAATAAAATTAATTATGTCCAATCAGATGTGTCATCTGATTTTCATCCAGAAATAAATCAAAACCCTTCAATCCAGAAAATGGTTTGAAGATAGAAAACTGAATGTCTAATACAGTTAAGGGGATAAGGTGGAGACCAACGAAGAATAAGAAAGAAAAAAAAAAAAAAAAGCGCAATCGAAAACTAAATTAAAAACTAAAAGATATCGAACACAAATCTCATCATTTTCAACCAACGATAAAGAAAAATCCTTAAATCTGAGAAAATGGTGACAAGAAAAGTAAAAAAATGAAAGGAAAATAGAGAGATGGCGATATGCGAATGAATGGGGGCAGGGAAAACGAGTGTTATATAGTGGTGAGAAAATCTGCCGTAATAAGACCGACAGTCAATGCAGCGATACGCAATAAATTGTGTCTTATCCATCCACCAACATGCCAGCTCATTTAACGTATTAGCATTAACCAAATTTAGCGAGTATACGATTTTGCAAAATATATTGGAAGGGTTTGACATTACCTTACTATGTTTTGTGGACTCTTCATTAACCATTTCTTGGAGTTCTGAAAGAGTATCTAAGCCCAATATCCACTGCTAATAGGCTTGTCCATTCATAAAATCCAACATTAGCAAACAGAAATATCAGTTTGCATTTTGCTAAACTTAATACTAAAACCAAACAATTAGGTTTGGTTCAGAAATTCCTCTAGAATAGGTAGAAATGAATATTCTGTAAAAAAAAAAAAGAAAAAAATATAGAGATTTTTCTTTGGCATTTCATTAACAAAACCCGAACCACTAGTAAATTGTACCAAACTTACTTTGGTAATGCTGAAAACTGATTGCTCTTTGGTATTTTGGCATTTCATCTCAGTCTTGATCGCTCTTAGCCAACACCATTATTCTCTATTTAGATTCTGCATAGCAAATAAAAATGTAATGAATTAAAAAAAAACGAACTTAAGAGAACGAAAACTAGCCAATAATATGAGACGTGACAATAAAATGAATGTATTATATATGATACATGGAAAGGATCTCTATTTCAATAATATACGTAGAAGAATATAAAGCATTTCTTCTCATTTCAAGCCAACAGTACAACTAACATTTTATGAATATCTTCTTCTATAAAATGCATATCGTGACCATTTCAATTATTGGAGTTTCAACAACTTTTCCTCTGAGTTTGAACCTTTGATAAGAGAAAATGAGGAGATGGAGATCGAAAATTGAACGAGGGATTGAGAGATGCAGAGAATGTGTGAGAAAGTAGAATGGGAATACGGAGTAGGGAGGGTAGGGTAAAATTTATTTGTGGGAAACCCCGCCAATAAAAGCATTTACCCACGCAGTCATTTATGCGATATATACTCTTTCATATAAATGTTATCAGATGAAGCACTTTTCGATCATGCCCCATATTCCAAAAATATAAACTCAATAAGCACCAAGACTAGGCTTCAATATCCAGATTAAAATATTACCTGATACTGAAAATACATCTCTTGCCAGGTCTCGATCATGCCCCATATTCCTTCAAACAATGAGAAGTAAAATTAGCAGGAACCATTTCCTATAGATAATATGAGTTCTAAACAAGGAGCAGCAATTGTTCTATAAACGTAACCAGTATGACAGAAGCAGGATAGCCACGCAGACAGGATTGTAAGGCATACAACCTAAAGACATTGTTCTATAAACGTAAAAATTAATATATGACAATAGAAATTGTAACAGTTGAAAAAATTACGGTATTATCATATAATCACTTATACTTATACATTGATATAATAATTCACAGGGAAACGAAAGAAAAAAAAAAAGCCACTGCAAATATGAATTTCCCAAGAGTTCAATTAGGTATGAGGTTCCCCAATTAATTCGACCAAAGTACTCAAAATTTTACTATCAAAAAAAGGCATAGAGAAATTAAAGGCAATTGCATTTTCATACAATTCACCAAAACAGTAAATTTAATGGCTTACAATCTGGAAATAGCCATCCGATGAAGAATTTCCACATCCAATTTACTCCGTATATATCCCACCACCATAACCACGGCGGCGAGCATAGCCGGAGCACATTAACCAATACAGTAGTCATCCTCGAATTACCGTGCGCCGAGAAAGAATACGGCGAGGGATAACGGCCGGTGACGGTGACGGCGGCGGCGGCGACGGTGGGCATGGACATTGCAACTGCCACCTATGGGGTTTAATCTCGGGAGTGGAGAGATTACAATTTACAACTGATCGTCGGAAAAAGGCTTTTTTATTTGATGATCATTTGCTAAATAAATTAAAGTTTAAACCCTAAAGTAAGCATTATATATCACTTCAACCCCTCAAATTAAGCATCAATATAATTTCAACTCTTCTAACTAAGCATTAATATGACTTTAACCCCTCTAACTAAGAATTGTTGCAGTTAAACCCTATTATTATTTTTTTCAAGTTGAAAAACCCTAAAACAAAGGCAACGACTATTTGCAATTACAAATTTACTTAGGGCAAGACCAAATTATTTTTTTTATCAAATTAAGTATAAAAAGACTATAATAACCTTAATAAAATACAAACAAAATAAACATTATTTTATTAATTTACTTTTGCAAGACCAATTTAAAAAAGAAAAATTAATAAAAAAAAGAAAGAAGAAGCCAATTGAAAAACGAGAATTGAAAAACGAGGAGGAGGGAAGAAGGGAAGAAAACAAAAAAAAATTCAATTGCAGCACTCGCTGCCGCCCCCCTTCGCGGTCGCCGTCGCCATTGAAGTCCACCACCCCCCCGTCGCCGTTGCAGTCGACAAGCACTAGAAATATCCCCCGTCGTCGTTGCAGTCGTCGCCGTTGATCGTTTTTCTCGTTTTTCGCACCTCATTTCATGTACAAAAAATTCGACGTGTACAGGTCGAAATATGCACCGAATATCGACACCAGAATGTCGAAAAATTCAATAAAAATCGACAGTAAAAAAGTGTCGATTTATGTTGAAATTTTCGACACTAGTGTGTCGATATTCGGAGCATATTTCGACCTGTACACGTCGAATTTTTTGTACGTGAAATGAGGTGCGAAAAACGAGAAAAACGATCGCAAAGTACAATATTTCTTACCTCTTTGTGTTCTTCGACCTTAGAATCCTCCATATTTATGTCTTGTGTATCCATAATGTCATTCTTTTCAAGTTTTAGTAAGATTTGAGGGTTTTGTGTGATGAGGGTTTTGGAGAATATGGAAGATTTTTTTGTGGAAAAAAGTGTGTAAAATGAGTGTGAAGAAGAAGATGTTGGGGTTTTCTTGGGAGAGTGCTTTCCCTCGTTTTTTCCTTTTTTTTTATTCCTTTTTTTTTTTTTTTGTTCTTGCAATAGCAATTAGCCTAATTTGAATTAATAATATTTAAATTAATATTGGGGATATATTTGTAATTTCCAGTCTTGATCTTAGTAAGTTTATTTATATTTTGATCTTGCATGAAGTAAGGTCTTGCACTTAGTAATTTCCGTCTTGCATATATTCGTTGCCAAAAAAAAATCATCAAATCACACCATGGAAGAGACTTGGGATAATTACAGTTTTGGTCCACCAAGTTTGCACGTTTTTCACTTTTGATCCTCCATTTACCGCCGTCAACAAAATACACACTAATGTTGTCACATTTTAACACATTTAGTCCTTCTGTCTATTTAAGCGTTAATAAATAACGGTCAACTGTTGAATTAGGGCTGAATTTGGGATTTTTCACAAATAAAAATTGCACTCAGACCCCTGCATTATTTTAAAATATTGTAAAATTCCCTAACATTTTATTCAACCCTAATTTAACCCCAATTTCATCATTTAATCACTTTTGAACAAACGACCCCGATTTTTACCACCATTACCGCTGACCGTTGAACGCCGTTGATTTTTTTTTTTTTACTTTTTTTTTTATGCATTGACTTTTTTATTTAATATTGATTTTCGCCGTTCACCGACATCGTATTCCTGGTTAACAATGTTGACTTTTTTTATTTTTCTTGATTTTTTACGAACTTTTTCCTTTGACTTTTTTTCCGATTAACACAATTATGTATAACACAATAATAATACTATATTAATATCTAGTATTGTAATATTAAAATTACAAACTTTTAACAAAGTTTTTATCTTATATTCCAGGGCCCAAATACAATTTAAAAAAATTCTAAAATCCATAATTTCTTCCCCTCAATTTTTTCTTCGTGGAACCGCTAGTGCATCCCAAATTTATTCCCAAGAAAATATGAAGAAGATGAATTAGGCATGTGCGGAGTAATTTGAAATGAGATAACCACTCTAGTACAACGGTTTCTGGGTTGCATTGACTTTTTCCTTTTATCTTTTGTTTTTGTCTTAAAATTTTTCCATCATTGAGATGCATTGACTTTTTCCTTTTTTCTTTATTTTGATTTTTTTGTATGATAATATTTTCTTGTCGATTATCTGCTTTGATTTTTTTTCAATTATATTTTTCCATTACTCAACAATTTAAATAAAAATAAAATAAAAATCAAGAAAAAAAAAATGTCAACGCTGTTAAGCCGACATTCAATATCGGTCAACATCGGGAAAAAAAAGATCAATTGGCAAAAGAGTCAACCGAGTTAAAAAGAAATTCAACGCCGTATTATCACATTTTGAAAAATCGGGGTCATTGGTTAAAATTGGTTAATTGATGAAATAGGGGTTAAATTATGGTTGAATAAAATTTTAGAGGTTTTTAGAATATTTTGAAAGAATACAGGGGTCTTATTGCAATTTTCTCAAAGAAAAACCCCAAATTCAACCGTTGACCTTTACTACTTAACGGTCAAACAGACGGAGGGACTAAATCTGTTAACATGTGACAACATTAGTGTGTATTTTGTTGACGGCGGTAAATGGGGGACCACAGTGAAAAACGTGCAAACTTGGGGGACCAAAACTGTAATTATACCAAGAGACTTCGATTGCTATTTGAATCACTCTTGAAACCCAATTTATTCCAATATTCATCATTACAGTAGAACCTCGATAAATTAATAACATCGATTAAAGAATAGTTTCTCTCGGTCCCTACTCAGTGAAAACGTGTTAAATTGTTAACTCGATAATTTAATAATTCGCTAAATCAATAGAATTCCCCTAGTCCCGACTGTATAAATTTATGGAGGTTTAATTGTATATTGAATTTTAGCATCACTACTACCATTGTTCGCTATATAAATTTTAGACTAATATTATAATGAGAGTTGTTACTAGCTCGTCGTTAAGTTAAAGAGTACGTAATAAATCATGTCACTCTCCTACTTTCTAATTTGTCGCATGATTTAATTTTCTTAAAAAAAAATACTCCAATCCTAATATAAGAAAATATCAAATAATGAAAATAAGATACATTATTTTTTATTTTATTGTTACATAAACTATGTACTAGAAAAGATCAAATAAAATGGCACTGCATAAGCAGCTGCAGTTGCGTGATGGTTTGGAAGTTTATCAAATTGTATTATACTCAGTGTTTTGAACTGGACTGGACCGGCTGGTTCAACCGATTAAATCGCGAATCATTGTCTTGTCCGGTCCAGTTTGACAGGTTGAAATGTAATATCAAAACCCGAGTGAAAACCGGGTTTTTTTTTCTTCCTAAAATTGTTTTTTCTTAATAAAAATAAACAAATAAAATGGCCAAAACGATGTCTTTTTACTATGATTCGGTGTCATATGTGTTTGTTGATATGTTATGTGTGTAAAATAAAAATAAGTCGGTCCAACCATGAAAAATGAGTAATGAGTTAATGTGTGAAAAAAATATGTTTTGTATACTTAAAGATGTGTATAAAAAATGAAAAAACCGGTTAAACCGGTCCAACCATGATCCAGTAGCTTGTTCCCGTCAATGTCCGATCCGATTTTTAAAACATTGATACTCATCCGTTTAATATTATTAAGAAAATTGAATTATGGTATGAATTATAATGTAGGAGAAAATGAAACTGCTACAACTAACACAATATCTTGCTACGAAATTAAAGATATATTTTATAATAAAAAAACAAACAGTTCACTCATGTCAAGCTGATTCGCCAAACTCACAAAAAACGAAACCAAAAAAAAAAAGAATATTGCTCAAAATTAAAGTATGAAAAACGTTAACGCATCGGTAGATATGCTGTCACTGAGACGTTGAAGACTCGGCGGCGGAAGGAGGCGCAAAATCTCTTGCAAAAGATAGGCTTTCATATGAGGGTCAATAAGGTGGCCTTTTGTTTTGAGAATCAATTTCATCCTCTCCAATTCCCTCTTCACTTCTGCAAGACTAGGTATACGTATTTCCCCTGGAATAAGAAATGATACGTAGCCGATAAAAAGGGTAGAAACAACATATATATTCATGAATTAAAATTGTAATAAAACATTAAGAGTGCACATAAAGATCTTCACGTCAAGAAACGATTACAATAAATAAGACCTTAATTGATGATTTAAGCTATACGAACATCTTTATTTTTAGAAAGTTAATTTGTAAATAATCCAACAAACAATAGAGCGTAAAACGAGCAAAGGTGTCATAACCAATCACATATTTCACATTACAATTTTTTTGATTGTTGGATAAATCATATTAGAGAAGTGCCAAGATTGTAATTACGAAATTTACCTTCAGACTGGGCCGCTTCATCTTAATTTTCCTTCATTGGTAACTTCACAATAAGAAAAAAAGAAAAAAAGAAAAGGGTCATCAGAAAGAGGAGAAAGATAGCTAGGACACAAAAGTCAAAAGTTAGTCGTAGAAAACTAATCTGCAAATCGAAATGACAAAAATATATGATCTACGTGAGTACTCTTTCTAATCCAAAGTAAAAGTTGTCGTGTTTTCAAGAATATCCAGAGAAATGAATATTACTAGAAATAAATGGTTAAGTTAATCAACTCGGGAGGGGGATGAAAGATCGAAAAGTACAAAATCAAAAACAAAAACAAAAATAAATTGCGTATCTCATTAAACGAAATGCATCTGATTTTGAACCAGAATAAATCAAAAATCATCAATTATATAAAATAGTTGGAAGATGGAAAATTAAATGGTGAATACAACTGGGTGGGGGGGGTGGGGGTGGGGGGGGGTGGGGTCATCATTCGAAAACTAATAAAAAACTTACAAATATGTGTGAGAAAATGATGAGAAGAAAACTGAAAGAGGAATAGAGAGATGCGAGATATGGGAATGAATGGGGAAGGGAAAACGAGTGTTATATAATGGTGAGAAAGTCTACCGTGATAAGGCCGGCAGCCAATGCAGCGATTCGCAATAAATTGTGCCTTATGCAGCCACGCCACGCCAGCTCATCTAATGTATCAGCGTTGACCAATCTTAGCTGGCAACAATATACATTTTGGAAAGATATAAAATATACCGGACGGGTTTGATAGTACCTTACTACGTTTTGTGAATTTCTCATGAGCACCTAAACCCAATATCCACTGCTAACAGGCCTGTGCATTCAGCAAACATAACATTAGCAAACAGATAAAAAAAAACAGAATCATTAGCCTGCATCATGCCAAGACCAACTCGAATTCGAAATTCATGAAATCGGACAAAAGTATGGCACAAAATTATAAAGTATAGTTCCACATATGAAAATGTCAAAATTTTATTCAGGCTAACCGTTAAAAATGGTGTAACTAAGATGAAGAAGAGCCAGCACTAGAGATTATTTTATTAGTGAGGAGCGTTATCTATTTTAAGAGATACTCTTTCATATGTGGTTTAAAAAGGTATCCTTTCGTTTCGAGAGCCAATTTCATCCTCTCCAACTCCCTCCTCATTTGTAAAATACTAGGTCTCTCCCATTGTTGAGCTGGATTTTGGCGTACATTCCCATGCTCAAAGGGGGGGTGCAAATTGACTTCTTAACGTCATACTGGGAAAGAACAAAATAAAATAAATTAACATCGTATCAAAGACATATGTTTAACAAACCTATGTATATATTGACTTACGCATCAATCTTGTCCAAGTACTGCACAGCTTGGCAGACAGCACTGAGAATCAATCCCTTCACCTGTTTCTTTACGAGCAGTTAGATATCGTCCACAATCTTTGTTTTCTTACAAGCAGACAAATTTTATTCATTATATATCTTTGATTTTGTTTATTGACAAGAAATCATATTTTTTACATACCTGCAGCTTGTCTTCCTTACAACTATGATTCTTTGGGAGACGCCGATACTCCGTTGATAGGTGGATGCACTGACCGACGCTTTCAGCTGAAACAAAGTCGATGGACATACTCGTACACGACTGCAAGATGGAACACGCACACAAAAATTAATTGCAAAATTCACAGCAAAAAATTTACATTCGACTGAAAATAATTGAAGTCGTCGTTCACGAAGTTTATACGAGTCAAACACTCAAACCTTTAAGTTTCTAGCTTGGTACGGGCAGCCAGCTGGTACCAAAACTGCATCGCCTAATCTCTGGACAAAGGTCCATTGTTCAATTCCTACAAAAAAATATATAAAATAGATAATCAATATATACAGATTCACACATATACCACTTTACAAGACAATAAAAACATACCATATTCATTTTTCAGCTTCCTTTTATGCTCCATTGTTAAGTAAAATGGTTTCTCATGAATATGATTAACCAGCTGTGCTTGAATAGAGGAAAAAATAAATTAGTAATATTCCAAAACATATCAATACTTTGGAAAAATAAAAGACATTTATCTACTTAGCCTACGACAATAAAAGATCATACCAAAATCTTAATAAAATTTTGATTTTTAGAATTCTGTTAGAAAAACAATAGTAACTACCATATAAGAGATAAACCCCATAACAGAATAAGTTAAGTAGAACATTGTTTTCAAAGTCAAGATTTAATTACTTGCTGCAAAGGGACGATACGCCTGAACTCTCCGTAATGCCTCCGAAGATAGTGTTCCAACTTATGAACATCTTTCCTCTGAAAAATGTCCCAGATAGCACCACATTTTTGTTCATCGAAGCTTTGATCGTTGTTTCCTGAGGTTGAAGGATCAAATATTTCCTTTCCTTTATTTTTATTTTCCCTTTCAAATTGTTGATTTCTCGTGGCATCTTGATTTGGTTTCCCGTTGCTTACAGAAAATACAACTGGATCTTGGGCAATGTGCTTCCTTCTCAACTGCACTATTGTTGAAAGCTCTTCCGGATTAAGAGACGTTTCAGCTGTATGCATCAAGACATTGACCTAAAACAAAATTAAAAAAGAGAGGAAAGTTAGAATCAACAAAAGGAGGATCACTTGTTGTAGTAACATGTTCGTATGTTCCATACGAACAACGTAGGCAATGGTAGAAAGAGATCTTGAGTGCAATCAACAAGGTTAAGTTGAATGATTTAGGTAACAAAATATTAAACATCGAGAAAGACTCCAAGATTCCTTCGACAACTAGCATAAACTTTCTATGAACAAGCACCAAAATAAAGCACAAAGCTTACATGGGTAACATATAACACCAAAATAAATATCTTTACCTATTAAACTATTTAGTAGTTTAAGTTAAAGTCTTTACGTAGTTAGGAATCATATCAAACATAAAAGGAAACAAACATTCCTTTGACGACTATTAGAAATTTTCTATGTTTATCTTGCTCGAATGTTAATATGATATATAGCTCAAATCTAGGGTGATCGAGTAATAGCAAAAAATTACGTTTGTAACATCGCATACTAGAGTAAGTATCTAGTGAACTATTTAATATATCTCATTTTAACTCTACATGTACTATTTTTGCACGAAGTCGACCAAATGCAATCTAGAAGCAAGATCCTTGGCTAAAGTTTAAAACAACTTACGTTATGAAAAAGTCGTTCCTACTCGATACCTAGATACAACAAAATCATTGTATTAGATTCAATACCTTGTATGAGAATTTGATAAATTCTATGGCGGATCTATAATATCCTTTTATTTACCATATGTATATGTATATAGTATTTACTATTTATAGAAAATACCCTCACCCATTTTGACTCGCTTCATATATGAAACTTGAAGTATTGAGAGATTACTCTTTCTACTCCCAATAAGAAGGTTTACTAACGAACCACTTTCAACATAATTTTTATTGAAGATAATAATAGGTTATTTTATACTTTATAGTCTTAATCCGTATTTTCTATTTAGTACGGTCTAACGGTATTTTAGAAACTCGAAATTCCTATAATTTAAGATCACTTTCTTAAGAAGTTAATTTATGTATTAAAATAGTATTAGAAGTTAATAAGTTCAATCATCATAATATCAACTCGCGGAGAAGAATTTCATCGTTATGCATTATTAATATGGAAACAATTTTTCTCATTTAAAGAGCTTTGACCATCCTCATGTAATACTTGTGTGTTCTAGGTATATAAGACGCCAACATTTCTTCTCTCTCTAAAGCTTTTCCTACTCCTTCTGAAGATTCTCCTTCTGATACGATCTTGACATGCTTGAAGATGAAGATTTGGAAGAATTGGGAGAAGAGAGAATTCGTGATCTTGTGGGAGTTGGCCGTGAAGAATATAAACTTGAATCAATACTTTAAGGTCCCCATGATGAGGAATTCGAAGGCAATAAAGAAAGGAAGTCGTCATGCGTCCAAAATCTCGGATGTCTCTCGCAATTTTTCAATTCGGATCATAACTCTCACGTCCGATATTGGATTGCTATGATTCAAAATGTTACGCAAAACCAACAAAAGATCTTGAAGTTTCATGCTTTAAAAACAGACGGAATGCAAGATGGACAAAATGGGCTCAAAGTTGTTGCACATGCATTCCCAAATCTCCACCAATTAAGAAAAATGATGTATAGTTGATAATTTTCAAGAAAAAGCAACACTTAGAATTCGTTTATGGTTAGAATTAGCTTAATTGTTAGTTTTCTTATTATAGTAAAGGTATGAACTCTTTTTTTTTTTGTAAGAAATGAGACTTTGAAACACTTATAAATAGGTTGTATACATAGCTTCCGTACACAAAGTTTAATGAATGATTTTGAGTTCTTCAAGATCGATTCTCCATCGATGTTCTACAACAACCTTCGGGAATTTACAAGTTGTTTCTTGTAATTTTCTTTGCCATATAATAATTGTTTTTGGTTTGATATAACCATGGGTCAGTATTCCACCCTAATAATATTGGTTCCGTGCCCGCGCACTGCATCGGGAATCGTGCCCGCGGCTGCCTCGGGAATCGTGCCCGATTTTTTTTTTTGTTTTTTTTTTTCTTGTTCTTGTATTTTTTCATCTTCTTTTTTCTTCTTTGTTCTTCTTCTTTTTTCTTCTATTTTTTCATCTTCTTCATTCTTTTTCTTTCTTCTTCTGTTTTTTCGTCTTCTTCTTTGATTTTTTTTCTTGGTGGTTGATGTTCACCCCTTGGAATGTTATATTTTTTGGGGGCACTATAAACCCCCAGGGAGTCGATAACCCTTGGCGAACGAAATGTTTTGGGGGCACTGTATACCCCCAGGGAGTCGATAACCCTTGGCGAGCGATATATTTTGGGGGCAGATTTAAGCCCCAAGGGAGTCGATAACCCTTGGCGAACGAAATATTTTGGGGGCAGATGTAAGCCCCCAGGGAGTCGATAACCCTTGGCGAACGAAATATTTTGGGGGCAGATGTAAGCCCCCAGGGAGTCGATAACCCTTGGCGAGTGAAATATTTTGGGGGCAGATGTAAGCCCCCAGAGAGTCGATGGCGGTGGTGCCATAGGTGGCTCCACATGTGGAGCAGGTGTTGGTATCGCGTTGGGAGCATTTGCTCCCATCGTGGCGATATACTGGGTCACGGCCTCTGTGGCAGCGCGAGTTGAAGCTTGTGCCATCATGCGTTGGAACGCATCCTCGGTTATTTGAACCATTCGAGGAGCAGGGAGTGGTGGATCGGCGAGTGGTTGGTCCCGATGGGGGATCATCTGAACCTCGCGAGGCGGATCCATGGGACGTGGAGGAGACGGCAAGCCAGAGCCTCCACGAGGTGGGAGGTCGTTAGCTGTGTCATCTTCTCTCCGAGCAGACGCCTCAGGAGCATCTTGTTGGCTACGTGATCTGGTTTGCATCGTTCCCACAGACGGCGCCAAAATGATGATGTTAATTACTTAGATCACCTGGGGTAGTGGAGAAAATAAACTGGGAGAGCAAAGCGGATCAGTAGCTTGACAACTTGATGATCCTGAGGTACCTGCGATCATAGAACACATGAACTAAGCCGGGGGTTGATCCGGCGGAAACCCCTCCGACGCTCAAGTCAGACGTGCTGATCATAGAAATAGTCCAGAGAATACAGTTAATAGTATTGCTCAGTTAATAGGACGTACCTTGAGGAATGAGTTCAAACCTTTATTTATAGCTTAGATGAGATTGTTGGGCCCAAACATTATTTGAAGGTGATTGGGCCTCGGTGATAATAGTCTTAGATATTGGGCTCGTGGCCCAATAGGTAAAGAGATTGTAGGCCCATTGGGCTGGCCCAATTAGGCATTTTAGTATTGATATTGGTATTGGTATTGATATTGGTATTGGTATTGGTATTGATATTAATAATTGTACTGATATTGGTATTGGTATTGGTATTGATATTGGTATGCATTGGTACTAATATATTAGTATTAGTATTAGTATTAGTACATTATATATTAAGATTAATATTAGTATATTAGTATTAGTATTAGCATTAACATTTTGTATATTAATATTAGCATTAGCTAATTAATATTAGTAATAGTATTAGTAATAGCATTAGTATATTATGATTAGTATTAGTATTAGCATTAACATATTAGAATTATTATTAATATTAGGATTAGCATTATGATTAGAATTAGTATTAAGACCAACATTATGATTAGAATTATAATTAGAATTAGGATTTGCATAACCATACATTAGCATATAAAGATTGGTATTAAGATTACCGTTAGAATTAGCATATTTGCATTTCTATAAGGATTAGAATTATGATTCGTATTATTATTAGGATTAAGATTTTGATTAGAATTATTATTAAGATTAAGACTAACATTATATTAGGATTATAATTTGAATTAAAACTATGATTGAAATTAGTATTAAAACTAACATTATGTTAGTATCAATTATATGACTATGTCATATTTCAAGAACCATTGAGGCTCACAACAAATCCATTTCTCTTCTTCAAGAAATAGTTTGTGATCGAACTTTTATGCCTCTACATTATTCCGAATATTTTCATGACTATTATTCCTAACTGAAACTCAAGTCTAAAGCACATTCAACATAATTCTACCTTGCGTATAATGAGTCAACAATTAAGATTACCATGTTACATGCAAGAAAGAAGAATTAGGACTGCGTTGAATAGATATAAATACCCAGGACTTCATAAGAATATTCTTTCGGAGATGTACTGCTTCTATCGATGCAATAGGCAGACTAACCGGAAATGATTTAAAGCAGTTCATATATTCTCATACATATTCAAGTTAATAAAGAGAGATAATAACAGAAAAAAAATGTACAATATCTGAAAGAGCATACTGAAGCTTGGTTGTAGAACAGAATCCAAGGTCCTCATTGACTCCATAAGCAAAGCATATTTTTGGACCCAAATCGGGCTTCAACGACTTCTTCGGTGTTTTCGCTGGCATGTTGAGGTAGCCATCTTGATGCGTGTATAGCTTGAAAGGCAAGCATCTAATGAACTCCACGAAATGCCGAGGCAGCCGTTCTTGAAAGGATTCAGTTGGAGGCCAATCCTCCAACTTCAAAATTTTGGGCCGGCCTTCACTATCCAAGAGGCCTTCAGAGTACCCATTGAAAAATTGGTGCATGTTTATGGTTTCCTGCGTGTCGTAGTCACAAAATCAAATCATTACAACACCACATCTTTAAGTTAATGAAAACAAAAGTATATGTGCAGAATGCATAGGACTGACAGACCAAAACATACATAAGAATGACACTTAACATAGCGAATAAAAAGGGTAAAGGTGACGTATATATTGGTCCCAATTCAATTACATTGCAAAACAAACATCAAGAGCAAATCTATCAAAACATCTCTATTTTAGAAAACATATCGAGTACGAAGAATTGTCAGATATTTGCTTTATCCTATCCAAATTAGTGTTAGACACTTATTAACCCAACCAAAGTTTTGACATTTTGAAGGTTGACACAATATGAAGAGAATTTTGCACCGAAACTAAGGACGATAAGAGATTCGTATTTTTGTTACTTTGTCCTTCTTTTGAAAGATTACATGGGCCAATAGAATACTACAACCCTTTGCAGCAAGTGAATGCTTAAGAACATACAAAATACAACCTAGAAACAGTTACAAGAGCAGCAAGTGAATGCTCAAGAACATACAGAATACAACCTAGAAACAGTTACAAGAAATAAGACCATGACTGAGAAAACAAAATGAGGTATACGGTTAAAAGGATGTAAAATAAGCAAGGTCCAGTCACAAATTCTAAATTAAAACTTTTTGATTGATAGAGTAAAACATAATAGAGAAGTCGGCATACCTTGCACCAATTTACGCAATTCGTTACGCTGAATTCCAGAATGCGAGCGTCATTGGTCCTTCTAGATTTGCGGCAACCACGCCACATGACTAATGGTTCCCAACTAAACTCAGTCCTCTTGCTGAGCACGTCAGGGACTATCACAGGCTCACCTTTATATAGGTGCCGTTGGAAGTGCTTTTGGTCAATGCCCACAACTGTGGGACAACGGAAATTACGGACTGCACTCCCTGAACATGAGCATGCTTCTTCAGAAACTTCACCCACCTCGAGATCTATGGACTCTGCTTTAATTAGCAGTTCTGATACCCAGTTATCTGGATATGTGGACTTTAACACCAGATTCCCATGAGCACATCCCCCCATAATTTCAGGTGGAAAAACTATGGTACCTCTATCTATCAGCTTCTATTTAGAAGTAAAACTAGTGTGGTCCATAGAACAACAGGCTGCTGCAGAAAATCTATCATTTCTTGTAAAAGTACGACCCCCATAATGAACGTGATATTTATCATTTCCCCATTGGAACCCATTCCTTATCTCTCGGCAAACAAGTTACGCAGAGCTTATATGTACAGTTGAGACAACTTCTGTGGATATCGAATATTGCAGTCTTACAGTTGTCGCTGCACAACACAAGTTATAATTATCAAAATTTTGCATTCTGGGGCAAACATTTATCAGGAAAAGGGCATAGGTTAAAAGTATCCACCATTTAACTTTATCGTCGTGGATAAAGTTAGCTTTCGGAAGCTGTAGTACTGCAACTGAAACACCTGCTGTTAAGTGTATATTTGTACACTTTATCGTACCTTTTTATTTGAGATTTTGGTGTGATTTAACGATAATTGGTGCTTAAAAAGTTGATTTATCGTCTTTTAGGTATAAATTGAAGAATTGGAAAAGTTTGGGGTCAAAAATGCAATTTTGGAGAAAATATGGGCCAAAAGTGAAATAATGAAAAATATGAAGAAATTGGCACGGGACGGCCGTCCCAGATATACACCTAAAAATGGGACGGCCGTGCCAACTGCAGAAATTGGGCAGAAGGTTTTGGCGATTCTCCCGCGGCCGTGTGAGAATTGCACTGATTTTCGCGCGGCCGTGCCAAAACACGCTGGAGACAATTTTGGACTTTTAATCACACAAGGAAACCTAAAATCATCTACCAAGTTGGGACATCTATTTAAGCCCAAACCAAGCACGAATTAGAGGACTTTTGACACAATCTTGGAGCGAGAGGAGCGAGAGAGCGAAGAATCGAAGACGGAGAATTGACAAATCTTCATCACAATTCTTCTTTCATCTATCTTTTCTTAATCTATTTCTTTTTATGTTTTTATGATGTTTTTCGTAGAGAACATGAGTAGCTAAGTTTTTAATCTAGGATTTTGTTGGAACCCTATGTGGGGATTGTGAACCCGTTTTCTTGAGATTATGCAATTATGATTTTATGATTATTTCCTATACTTGTTATGATTGTTAGTGCATGAACTTGATCAATTTATGTGCTTTATCTTTGATTATTGGGATTGACTCGACAGAGCTATTTTGATAATTAGACGGTAAGTATAAGAACCTTCGAGTAGTTTTCACCGGATGAGTGTGTCAATTGCTTGTGGTGTCGTAGACATATAGATATCACATTAGGTAGCCATTTACGGGACTTGTTAGTTAATGATTTATTCATAATTGGTTTGCATAGACATATAGTGAACCGTTTAGGAATAATAGACTCATAATACACGCGACAGCGGGTTATGAGTAAATTAGTGTCTCGGGTTAATAATCATGAATCATATATTTCATAATTGAGGGGTTTTGGGTGAGCAATTCTTGCATAGGGGGAAGATAAAATCCTAGGTCCGTTTTTATTGATATTTTCTCGTGTTTATTTGCTTTCATAATTAATTTAATTGTTTCATTGATTTTATTTGACAAACTTGCGTAGGCTGGATAAAAATCATAGTTGTTACAATTTGGTACTTAGGATTAGATAATTTGAGTATTCCCTGTGGGATCGACATCCGACTCTCACGAGTCCACTTTTACTTCTTGTTTGCGATATATGCACTTGCGTGTTAGGTATTTAGCCCCAACAAGTTTTTGGCGCCGTTGCCGGGGAATACGGCTAAATTATCTATTTATTCTAATATTAAATTTCAGCAATTTTTTGTTACTTCAGCCGTTTTATTTATTTTATTTAATTATTTTTTTTATTTAATTTTTTTTAGGTACTTTTTACGCGATAATGGAAGAAGAGAATAATCGTAGGGGAGATGACCAAGGGCGTCTACCGAATGCGGCAGGAAATATCGTCAACGAGCAAGAGCAACTTCAACTAATTAATCCACCACCTTGTCAACGAGCATTGCATGAGTACACCGTTCCAACACTCAATGGGTTTCAATCAAGCATCCAGCAGCCCCCCATTGAAGCCAACAATTTCGAAATTCGAGCGGGACTCCTTACTATGCTCCAAAACGATGGGTTGTTCAGCGGATTAGCTCACGTAGATCCACATCTCCACTTGGTCAATTTTCTCGAGACGTGCGACTCGCACAAGATGAATGGAGTATCGCCCGAAGCACTGCAACTTCGCCTGTTCAAGCACTCTTTACAAGGAGCAGCCCGAGAATGGTTACAAACTCGCGCACCGCACTTCATCTCGTCTTGGCCCCAATTAGCACAACTCTTCATGAACACCTACAACTCCCCAACAAAAACTGAGAGAATCCGGAGAGAAATACAAAATTTCATGCAAGAGTCGGTGAAGCGCTATTCGAGACGTGGGAGCGGTTCAAACAATTAGTTCGGAGATGCCCGAATCATGGACTTCAAGAGTGGCGGCAACTTCAAATATTTTATGATGGATTGCAAGATAATTCGAGAACGGTGCTCGATTCAGCAGCTGGCGGTATGTTCATGAGCTTGACCTATGACGAAGCGTACGAACTTTTGGAGCGAATCGCAAGGAACAAATACATGCGGGCATCGGACCGGTCAAATAGCGGAGCCGTCAAGACGGGAGGAATTTTGGAGTTAGACGGGGTCACCGCAATCACCGCCCAGTTAGAAAAGCTATCAAAGCAAGTACCAGCTTTGCAGACTCAGCAAGTCCATGCAATCAACGGTCCCAACCAGTGCTTAGAAGAAACGGAGTCTCTAAATTACGTGAATGACACCAACCGACAACAGAGGAACCCGTACTCCAACACCTATAATCCGGGATGGAAAGATCACCCCAACTTTGGATGGGGAGGAAATCAGCAAGGACAAAGACAAGCACCACCTCAAGCTCAATCTCAAGGTGGAGATCTCGCTAATGTCTTGGCCCAATTTATGACGACTGCCCAAGCATCCATTCGAAATTTGGAAACACATATGGGTCAACTTGCAACCCAACTAAACGCAAGGCCGTCGGGAGCACTGCTGTCGAATACGAAAGATCCTCGAAAGAGCAACATCGAGCAGTGCAATGCAGTAAGTTTGCGAAATGGGAGGCAATTAGAGGAAAGTCCTAAAAAGTCCATTGCACCACCGCCTATTGTAGAGGAGCCCAAAGAAAAGACCGAGGTCGGGCCAAGCAACACAAAGATCGCAGTAAGTGAATCTACTCCCAAGGTACCTTTCCCTCAACGTTTTCAAAACTCTACGCTTGATATGCAATTTCAGTCATTTTTGGATTATCTTAAAAAGTTGCATGTTAATATTCCTTTTGTTGAGGCACTTAAGCATATGCCGAATTGGGTTAAGTTTATAAAGGAACTTGTATCGAAGAAGATGAGGCTTCCGGAGTGTGCAGCAATCGTAGACCTCAATGAGCAAAGTAGTGCTATCCTTGCAAATAAAATTCCACCGAAGCCTAGAGATCCGGGCAGTTGTACCATTCCATGCACAATATGTACTAGGTATTTTGGGCGGGCGTTGTGTGGCCAAGGGGCAAGCGTAAATTTAATGCCTTTATCAATTTATAAGAAATTGAATTTAGGAGAAATTAAGCCCACCTCCATGACCTTGCAGCTAGCCGATAGATCTTTTACTCACCCTTTAGGTATAGTGGAGGATGTACTGGTCAAGGTAGATAAGTTCATACTCCCGGCCGATTTTCTAGTACTAGACATAGAGGAAGATGAAAATATTCCCCTTATCTTAGGACTCCCCTTCTTAGCAACCGGTAGATCAATTATTGATGTAGGAAAGAGAGAGCTAAGAATGAGTGTGGGGGAAGAAACAGTGATCTTCAAGGTGTACCGGGTGGATGAAAAGCCTATTACGGCTAATGGATGTTATCTTCTTGATGAGGTAAGTGATTCTAAACTTTTTCCTGTTAAATTACATGATTTAAATTTTTTTGTGGATACTAATTTGCATGTAGGAGAACAAAAGAAAAAGGTTGAGTTGGTTACAACACCTACTCAAAACACCGTGATAAAAGACGATGTTGGCAAGCCTCATGACATCAAGAAGAATAAATTCAAGGGCATTCCTAAGCGAACCAGTCGAAAGAGGAATCGGATCAACCCATTTATTCAAGACTTTCTCCAAAAGGAAGTAAGGAGATGGGTTCAAAAGCTAAGGAATTGAAGAGCAAGAACAAAGCCTGGCTGAAGACTATAAACTTAGCGCTTCTTGGGAGGCAACCCGAGATTTTCGTTTTTTTTTTTTATTATTTATGTTTCTTGTTTTATTTTATTTATTTATTTTATAAGCATGCAAGCTAATGAATTAAGCAATTTTTTTATTTTCAGGGGTCAAAGTGCAATTTTGCACTTCACACGGCCGCACCAAAAAAGGCTTGAATCCAGCACGGCCATGTGGAAAATCGTGGAAGCTGTTGTCCGATTTTGGCTTGGGGCGCGGCCGCGCGAAAAACATAATATCATCTCACACGGCCGTGCAAGAAACAGACAGCTACTGCCCAATTTTGGCAATTCGCACGGCCGTGCGGAAAATAGTGCAAAAAACTCATACGGCCGTGCGACACGTAACAAAAGCATAATAAAGGCAAGGGTGGAAGAGCAGCCCGGACATGGCCAAAACGACGAATTCAGGTGTATTCTATCCTTATACTTCGTGCTAATTACATTGAGGGCAATGTAAATTTTAAGTTTGGCGGTGGATAATTACTTGTTTATGTGCTTTAATTTTTTTGTTTGCATGCCTTAGATTTTTTTTTTTATTGTAGTTGTTTTAGTTTATTTATTGCTTTCGATGAAAACAAAAATATTTGAGATAAATGCTTCGATGAATCATGATGATGAAAGATGGTTGATGTTTAATGATGAAATTGCTTACTTTATCGTGATTGTGATTGAATTTTGGTGAGCTTTTGATTCAAAGCGTCGTAGGAAGGAGTCATTGTT